GGCTTTGCAGCACGTGAGTCACTCTGGGATTTGCCCATGGTGAAAATATGAGTGGAAGCTCTGAACTGGCATTGTCCAAGGGGGCCTTGAGTCTGAAACAGTTGACAACTGCTGGTCCGGAGGGACCATGGGTGGGAGGTGGCAGCCAGCACTTACACAGTTGGGACCCATGGGTGAATGGTGCCTCCTGAGTTGGGGGTGGGGGGAGGGCACTTGCCCCCGCAGCGGCCAGTCAGGGAGCAGGGCAGGGGGTGTCTTTTCCAGGTCAGCACAATTGGCCGTGAGGGAAACCCCCTTTCCCCCCCACAGTTGGCACAGTCGGCCACTGGGGGACTGTGGGGATTGCTTCTCCTGGCACCCCCACTCCCCAGCTGGCGCTGTCAGGTGGGGCACCAGTGCTCTCGCCTGCCCCGCCCCTGCTTGCTGCCTAAGGGAACGCTGCCTGTCAGGGGGTGCACCAATACTCTCGGGGGGTGCATGTGCACACCCTGTGCATCACTCCTGGTCGGGAATCCTCTGTGTGAATGGATCTTGAAACATGGCTCGGTGCCAGCTCGGGGGAGCAGAGGCTGCTTTCTTTGAGGGCTTCCTCAGTAGCTTGCAGTCTGCTCCCATTTACCTTTTGCTTTGGTAGCATTGGCCCAGCAGGACCAGTTCCCCCAAAGATGCCTCCAGGGCCCGGCGTACTGGTGCCAGGATGCAGAAACAGCCACTGAGTGCCGGAAAGAGCAGTTCTGCTTGAGTTTCTGGGACACTGCTCTGGTGAGGGCTCATGATGGTGTGGCAGGGCTGTGACCCCTCTAGACGTGCGTGCCCCGTCCAGCCCCCTGCCTCTAAAGCGCCTGCTGTTTTGGTGCTGTGGGATGCTGTGCTGGGTGGTCCAATGGTCTGACCCCGTGTGGTCCTGATAATGGCCTTTCCCCAGTGGCAGCTCCCCTTCCCCCTTCAGGAATGTCTATTCATGGCCAGGGCCACTGAGCTGTTGTCATTCACACCTGCATGTTGCTGTGCTGATCAGAGCGGGGGTACCACTACAACTGACTGTGCAAAAACTGGGCTGCTGGCTCCAGATGGGCGCATCCACCAGAGACTCTGAAGGAAGCGCGGAGACCACCCTCTCTCCCTCCCGGGGC